TATATATATTATATAATGCATTATTTATTTATATAATGCATTAATTAACTAACTAACTAACTAACTAACTAACTAACTAACTAACTAACTAACTAACTAACTAATTTTAAGGGGCTGAAATCAAATTGTCCTCCAGAGGGTCTGCTCGTGACCAGGCAGGCGGGGCCGGTCCAGAAAACGGGGGGCTGCTAAGAAGGGGGGGACCCCCTCACCCTGGAGCCCTCCCAGGCTGTGTCCTCCTTCCTCCCGTCCGTCCGTCCGTCCGCCCGCCCGGCGGCGGCTTCTCCCTCACCGTGAGGCGCTCCGTCCCTCGCCCGCGCCTCCATCTTCCGCTTTAAACGAAGCCGCCGCCAGGCGCGAGCTCCGCCCGCTGCGTGACGGACGCGACCCTAGCCCAACCAAAGCGGACTTTCCAGCCGAAACCCACCTCCTCCATATCTGTCACCCAATCCGGGCAGCTCTAAAGGCGGCGAGACGCTCAACTGTTCTTTTCTCCTGTAAGAAGGTATTCAAGCCTGCTGGTTCTTCCGGGAGGATAAGTCGAACCAAGGGATTGGTCGTTGGGTCTCCCCCCCCCCACCCGCGGCCAGTAAGAGGCGAGTTCTCGGCCGGCGTGCTCGGTGGAGAGGCGCACAGGTTTGGGTTGTCATGGCGACGGCCGGGCCGGACGCGCCGGTTGAAGGGCTGCAGGCGGCCTGGTAGCGACCGAGCCTCTCCGCGAGGGGCTGCGCTGACCCTGCCGGCCCGTGTCGCCCCTCGCTGGCTAACCGGGCCCCGCTGGGGTTTGTGGACAATATACAGTATATGCGCTTATAAGAGCGGCGCATATGCCTAGACAGACGGACGGACAGGCTTTACACAAACACACGCTTTTTAGGCAGGGGTTTATGCATCCTATCTTAACTGCCGTATCTTAATTACTTATACTTCGCCATCTTGGACTTATATGTTTTTTGTTTTTAAATTTGTTAACTACCCAGAGTAGACCCCGTCTCGATGGGCGGCATAGAAATCTAATAAATAAATCCCTTCTTATTTGCTTGAGGGACAGTGTCATGTAGTGTAGGAATGATGACCTGGGTTCAAATCCCCAGCTGGCCATAGAAACTTACAAGGGAATCATCCTGGTAAACCATGCCTTGAACATGGGATATGTCACATATTTCAAAAGCCATTTTAGGATTGCCATACGTTGGGACTAGGCTGGATGGGGCACAACATGCTTGGATCCCCTTGCTCAGGACTTCCATTTTCATTAAAACAAGCCCTTCCCTCTTCCTTGATATTACTTGTGAACCACACTGATGACCCACCTCTTCAGGGATGTGAAAAGTGTAAGGCTAACGGAGCGGTAGATCTTGCACACCTGAAAGCTGCGCAGTTCTTCGGAAGTATTGTGGCGCTGTCTCTCGCTTGCCCTTGGCACAGGCAGACAGACTAAATGATGTGATTGCTTCTGGCATCCCTTGGGTTGTAGTAAATAAATAAATAAGTAAACAAACAAATAAAAAGCTGCAGTTCCAGAGAGTCCGATTTGCTCATGGGTGTCAGACCTCAACCTGTTTCTTAGCGTCCAAGAAGCAGCAACATGTTTTCTCTTGGAAGCAAATGCTTGACCTTTCCATTTCTTTGACTAAGGCTGCTCTGATATTCTTGAATCCAGAGAAGGGCCTATAGCCATTCTTAGCCACCACATCTTGAAAGACTGTTTCAGTTTAGGGTGGATGATTTGTCTACCCAGCTGATTTATGCTAGAGGTCTTGATCTTCATGGGCCTGGGGCTAACCCCTCCCCTCCTGCTTTCCAACAAACAGGGCAACCTGCTACACAAGACAAGGGCTTGCATCCCCTTCTCCCTTCCTGTTAACATCCACACAGAAACGGGCGCAAGCATTTGTAGGAGGTCGATGGAGACAGATGTGACTCAGTCCTGTATGGGCAGAATTGGCTCCAAATGAGCCTCACTCTTATTAGCAGCCTCACTCCCATTGCCTAATCTAATTTCATTTATTCATCCATTCATCCATCCATCCATTCATTTACTGCTGACAGTCTGTGGTTTACAAAGATAAAGTAAACAATAACCCTGACCACCCAACAAAACCAATAAGATAAAACCCTACATGAAATAAAACCCCAAATGATCACATATAAAGAGAAACTTAAGGGGGGGTGCCATTAAATGCTTCCTGAAACAAAAATGTCTTCAGCATATTTTAAAAGGAAGAGAGGGAGGAGGCCTGACCGACTTCCAGAAGGAGCCCGTTGTATAAAGTAGGGGCCACAGCCGAGGAGACACGATTTCTGGTGATTGGGGGGGGGGTTTGCTTCCCTCAGTATAGCAACCTAGAGAAGTAAGTAATTTTGCTATGGAGCAGTAAAATCGAACACATTTTTGCTTTGAAACAAGGCACACAAGGAGCATATGTTTTGTTTGAAAGGAGAATTATGTTCTCAAAAGCTTACTGGGCACATCATTTCCTTTTAAAACAAGACACACCATACTTTAAACCAGGGTTTAGGATTTTTATTTGTATTTTGTTGCTGCACTGCCATTTTCCAGCAAAAGACAGTGCACTGTCCCCCTTTTGGGAATGGAACGGTTGAATGGCTTCCTACCTCATTTATGCATTCTTTCATCACTGAGTTCAGGCAGTAGATCTACCTCCTTCCCAGTGGATCTGACATGAGGGGCTGCCGCCTGATCACACTTGCTTTCCACAAACTCCAGATCAATGTCAGTCCCACTCGTACTCCCACAGGATACCACCAAGTCCCTTTCCTGTAGCCTGGCACCCACCAGACTGGCCACACACCACTTGGTGTAGTGAACAGTTCCATGCAGAGGAAAGAGCTCCATGCACAGCCTGTGTGCCTTGTGCTACATGGCCTACAACAGTTCTTTGCCAAACTCCTACATGAGATGCATGTGCCTTCTCTGGTGGTGGTTGCTGTGAAGAGGCCGAGCTGGCATCGTTCTGTCCCTCTGTGTGCTCACTCATCTGGGCCTAGCAGTGTTGCGCCAGAGGCATGGCTCAGAAGGTAGAAGCAGCCACGGCCTTCTAAACAAATCCACACCCAAGATCTTCAGGGGCATGTTTAGTGGCGCGAAAGCATGTCTCGCCTCTGCTATCTGTTAAAATCAACCTCCATGTAATATAAACAGCATGGGTAGAGGTGAATGTAATCCTGTTCTCAGCTGGGCAGCATGGATGGATACATGGGCTCTTTGGAAATAAGCTGTAGCATGAGAACTGATCCTGCTGGATTAAGACAAATTCACATTTTAATGCCCGGCTTTGCCACAGCGTCCTAGAGATCAAGGGTCAATATATAGTGCATTGCAAAAAAAGGTCTAGGTTAGTCAGGTCTCAACATTTTATCATAATAAACTAGATGTGAACAAAACAGCAAGTGGTAGCTCATAAATCTATTACAGTGAACTGTCAATGTCCCTTGCAGCAGGGTAATTTGTTAATTCAGAGTTGGGTCTCTTTTTTTCTAGCAGACCTTGTAAACTCTTTTCTGAAACATCAATAAACCATCTACTTTGACTAGTTAATCAAACGACTTTATTCAGTCCAAAGCCATTTTTTCCTAATAAAAACAGAGTATTTATCTCCATGGCTATAAAAGAGGATTGTTTTCAACTGTTCACTTATAGTTAAGAAGCGCATTTAGTCTGGATTGATTTCCAATGCCTTGGTCATATCCTGTCACTTTCCATTTCTTACACACAGCATCTCAGTTTAGCTACTTAGCAAGGGAAGAAACAGCCCAGCTTGGGGCTAGGGATCAGCACCAGGAGGAGGAGGAGGTTTCCCTGGGTTGTAGAGATGGAGTGGTGGTGGGGAAACACTGCCAGTGTCCTTTGCTTCTGAACTCCCAACATAGTGTGTTTTCATACTCAAATCTTCTTCTGTGGTTGAACATTCCTCCTCTTGACTTTCTGGGGAAAGAGACCTGCCCCAACCCTGGAAAGCTGCAAAATCACATCCAGTTACTTAGATAAAAGTACAGTAACCATCTTTTAAGTCTCCCATTACATCGCCATAGAGGCAGAAAGAACCTGAATGGCCATCCCTGTCTGTCTAGCAGAGCACAGTCTTTGACAGGTCCTATAATCTAAAGCCACTGGGGGCGAGGGAAGAGAGTAAAACTTACTGACAGCAGCATGGATCAAATTTTGGTGCAAGACCGGCTGAGATTGTAGAACTCCCACAGGGGTCTTGGAAACTCCCCCACAAAGAAGTCAAGCAGGCTGCAGCCATGCTGAGTCTCCATGGGCCGCCATGGCTTTGAGAGAATTTTAAAAATTGGCTTGCACATAATAATTTCAATCTGTTTCTGTAGTACATTGCTCTGGGGGCCCTGCTGGGCAAAGGAACAGTAAACAAATACTTTAAATATGATTTAAATTGAGCCGGACTCTCAGCCTAGTCCCCCTACTGCCGTGAGAGGTCTGCCCTCTTGGGGGATTAGCACAATAAATGTAGACAACCAGAGCTGGAATTTATGTAGGGGTGGGTTTTTTGGGGGGGGAGTATTCCTATCACAGCAAGGGAGGACCCAGACCACCCATCCACTGACCTCTGCATATCTAAAACTAGACACCCCCAGCAGCACAGAAGGCAGCTTCCTTTGACAACAGGCTATCAAGCAGATATCCCATGAACACAAGGTTTTCCAATTTTGGGGGGTGGTTTTTTATGCCAGCTGCCCGGTTCAACAATTCTGCCTTTTGCTCAAGGCTCAGCAGCCCTTAGTCTGTGGTGGGGCTTGCTCAGCATCCTGGGACCCCTATGGGGCAGAGCATTCTATAAGGAACAGGGTGGTAGACAACTGGGGATGGGGTTCTGGTCAATCTCTTACACTTCTCCCCACTCCTGCACGGAAGCCAGTGCCCGTAGCCCATGGGAGAAGTAACAAAATTGAGGGATGGATTTTCCTTGCCGGTTGAGCCATTTGGGGACCAGGTTTCCATGCTGACTGAGCCTCTAATGGCCAGACCCCTTGTGCTCCTATTCCTGCCTGCCTGTGGTGGCAAGAAGGTGTAACCTGACTTTATTCAGCACTCTTATCCAGCAGTTTAGATACATCATTTAAAAAACAGATATGCACATTGCAGCCACCCTTGGAGCAGAGGCTGAGATCTCTGCCTTGCTTTATCATTAACTGACTGAGGGTGCAGGTAGGAAAGACAGATGGCAAGAGGTTTGCATCTCTGTCTACTGAGCCTTGAATATAATAGAAATACTGCATTCCTGTCTCTTTTAAATGGCTGGAAAGAAATGGCTAAAAGCAGCTTTTGGGGAGAGCCTCCTGGGCAGACAGGATGAAGGCAAGATAGGCACAGCAGTTTGGCAAAAGCCCCGCTTTCTGGATTGTGCCCTTTAGTTCCAATATTCACAAAAGCACCAGAAAACAGCTTCCAAGGGCCAATCAGACCAAGGCAGAACCAATTCCATTAAGAACAATCCACCATTATCCACAGAGACTTAAAAGGAAGGAAAGGCAGATCAGGATGACTCAAGAGAAGTTTTGGTACAAAATGTGGAAAGTCGATCCGGCACGGAAGGCTACTTTGCAGCGGGGAGCCTTACATTCCCACTATCTCCACCTTGAACCACCAGCAGCTTCTTGTTTAATCTGTGCTTTTTATAGTCTTCCAAACAGGCCGTTTTCACCACTGTAACACATCACAGAAAGGGGTACATGAATCAGGTACATGAATCAGGGTCCAGAAAGGGGTACATGAATCAGGTGGATGGGGGAGGGAGGGGAATGTTGAAGGGGGAGGAAGGAGGAAATGACACCTTTTCTGTTCCTGAGATATCGTAAGTTGATCAGTTTCCTCTGTAATCATATTCAGCAATGATCACACATGGTCAGTCAAAGGCCTGACTATTCAACGTTCTTTGTGAATGGAGAACAGCACTTTTGAGTTAGATGGGGAGCACCAAAAACATTGTTTGGACATTTTCATACCTCGGTGCAGTGTTGGTTTCCTGGTAGGCAAAGGCCTTCTCCACCAGCTCCATGAAGCAACTTACACCTTTTGCAAATACTGTTTAAAAAGCAAACGTAAGAAGTAGTCATACTTTTCAGAGGCAGCACAAACTGAGTACATTAACCACAATCTAGCAGGGCTTGCTCAAGGTTCTGGTGCTTTGGTGCCAGAGGTACAAAAACTCAAGAGGCAGCCCCACCCTCAATAAAAGCATTTGAATGAATTGAACAACAGCCACCATGTTTTTCTCTTAATGGCATCCAAAATCTAGCCACCTCATTCTAGAGATAGTGCTCCTGCTCTTTGCATGTAACTCTTGGATTGAAAGACCAGCACCGGTTGGGAACTAGGTGTGAGCCAGTTTCAAGGTGCAACATTTGGCTTCCAAAGCTGAGGACCAGGGTACCTGCCTTCTCCTATATAAACAGCCTGGTCCTTACATTTTGAGGTGACTAGTGAGGCTTCCTTGTTGCCCTGGGTGTGAGGACGCCATGTAGAAGGGTCTCTCCACTGAGATTAATCCATTTCTCAGTGTTCAACGGGTCCGCCATCAACTAAAGAGCTTTCTGTCCACAAACGGATGTTACCAATTGTTTTCCTACTTTGCCTATTAACAAAGAGGGATTTTAAGAAAGAAAACTGCTATAAGATGGTTTAAAAGAAACAGAAAATGAAATGAAACATGAAGTGACATCACAAGTGGATGTCCTTTCTTCAGGTTGGCTTCTGGTTTCTGCAGCCCGCAAAACGTACATGGGTAGCAGGCTTATCTTGAAGATCCTTTGGTTGGATGTCGATCCTCAGAGATCACCCTTTTGTCGTGCGGACACCTTTCCTTCAACGACCTTGATTTGTTTAGACTGTGAACTAAGGGAAACTCCTCAGGACTAGGAAAGATCTTAGGTTTTTGTCCCATGACCACTTTTACCGCGTTTAACAACTTTCTTGACCCCTCTTTGACTGAAAGGCATTGAGATCATGACTACAAGAAGCCATTTCCTGAATTGCTATCCAAGGACTCCACATTTCCAACAGGTCTCCTGGGCGACTGACAAAGACTGAGTTAGGTTTGATTATTCACTTCTCCTAAGCCCTCCCTCTCTGCCACAAGAGCTTTTGAAAGGAGTATGCCAATAGCGCCTAGAGGGCCTCCCCAATTAAACAGCCACTGGCTTCTTTGTTTTAGGGAAAGGGAATCACAGGCTGGTACATTGATGGCCAACACACACCCAGCACCAATCCTGTTTCACCAGCGTGCCTGGCAGACTCTTCAGATTCTACCCCATCCCATCCCAAATTCTCTGGTTGGTCTCCTTCCGTCCAAAATATGCAAAGCGCTCCTCCTTCCATGGGACAGTCAGGCACTGGCATTCACACAGACACCCGGGGACAGCAGAGACAAGAGCTTTTGCTCATTTTTTTAATGTATCACAATGAGCAGGAAACATACTTGATGAAATATTTTCAAAGGAGTATATTCAATTACCATCTACAATCAACTTAACTATGACAACAAAGTGTTTTGTGACAAAATCTGTTTTTTTTTTAAAGAGTTCCGTGTGGTTTCTGTTTTTTGTCCGTCTCCATGTATTTTGGTACAGTTCGAGATCAGCATCGTTACAGTAACAAAAAAGCTAACAAGACTACATTATAGAAAAACACCAACATCATTTTTGGTTTCACTTGCTCTAGTTTTTGTACATTGCAAAGGCTGTTCATATACCTCTTCACCTCATTTATGCTTTCTGTTTTGTCCAGACTTTTCCCCCCTCCCCTCACCCAGAATCAAATAGATGAAAAATAGTCAAAATCTTTGTGTTTCACAGTGGACAGGATTCTCAGCGCCATCAAACCCACCAACTGCCAACAGTTCGCTTCTATTTAAGAGGACCCAGACTGGCCACTGACAGTGCTGCCCAGCATGGGGTGGGGAGGGCCTTCCTGCTACATGTCAGCCACCCCCACCAGCCTAGGGCTCTCTCAATTGGGCTCATGGCCTGCACCTGCAAAGCTCCCTCTCTGGTCATTAAATGCCACTGGGATCTTCTCCAATCTCCTGGTTGGCTCGGGTGCCAGCATCAAGGGAGAACTCTTGCAAAACAGAAAGAGGATCTGCGTACAAAGTTGGGAGGCTGAGGCAGGCGGCCAGTTCAGTGGGGAAGAGCCAGGGAGGATTCTGAAGGCCAGGCAGGCACACCTGCCAGGGTCCCGATCAGCATCCCCTCTCCTGCTGTGCTTCAGAGGAACCCAACTGCTAAACCAACCGCAAGGTCCTAAAGGGAGGTGTGGAAGGGGAACACGGAGGGAGTCTGGCTTCGTTCAGGGTGGAGCACCTCCGATTCTCATGATCTCCAGGAAAAGGGGTAGGGGAGCAGGAGGGAGAGGAGGGTGCAAAAGGGGAGGCTAACAGGCTGCCTGCCACTCCTCTGCCCTTCTGGGATAAAGGCCTCTCTCAGACTGGGAGAGTCCCTCCCTACCGCCCCCATACCAGGAAATGCACTGAAACACTACTTAGAGGTGGGGGAGAGTGGAAGAGGTGGGGAGAGGAAACTTGTGCATGTAATTAAGTGATGGGGGGGGAGTGGGGGAAACAAACAGAATGATTTCAAAGCAGACCACCAAACCTGACAGGCAAAGCTAGTGTTAAACTGGCAACTTATACCACACAGAGAACCAAAAAACAAAACAAAACAAACCTTCTATATGATACAGAGTAACATACAACAGTTAAATGGCAAAAAATATATATATATCTATATATTTTTCATAGAATTACAAACAAGTTAAAATAATGGAAACCAAAAACTGTACAACTTTAAAATTTAAAAAATGTTCATCTCAAGCAAGGGAGAAATACAAGGATCTCGGTTAAAGGGAAACGGCAACACTTTGCCCGCTTATGCTACAACTGGATCCTGGCAGTAATGGTTAGTCGTACTCTTCTCAGTACGATCCTCCTTGAACAATCCCAAGAGGAATCTGCATTGTGCATTCGTCTAGTTAGAAATGTGTACAACCGTTCAAAGGTGAGTCTTCCATTAAACAAAAAACGAAAGGTCATGAGAAGCCCTGACTAAGGAAAGGGTTGGGGGGGGGGAGAGAGGGTGGGACCAGAAGCAGCTCCTCCTTCAGAAACATACCAGCCTCTCTTAGAGTCACCAGCACCTTCCACAGCCTGAGGGGTGGGTGGGGTTGGAGAAAGGGGAGAGAAGCCAGAAGGGGTGAAAGATGCCCCCTCCCCTCCCCGAGGTTCACAGTCTATGTTCCCTTTTTGAAGCACAGGAAAGATGACGGGGGGGGGGTGAGGAAGGATTTTATTATGGGGCCAGGGGGGGTGGAAGAGGGGATTGTTGACATTTGGCTAGGAAGTGGCAATGCAACACTTGCTTGTCTCCAAACTCTACATGGTAGCAGCACAACATTTTCCTTTCAATGTCCGGAAAGATGATGTCACAAAAGAGGAGCAGAGAGATTCACACCAGACCCCAACATGCTTTTTTTGCTATGTGCACTTCGGGGTCCCTCACCAATCGCACTGCCTAGCACAGACACACCACACCTGTGATACGTTGAAAAAACGCATCTTTTGGTTTGTAGAGGTTGCAGGAAGGTTGTTCTGTTGCTTGCAGGAGAAGCACCGAGAACCACCTACATGCTTATTGGTTTATGAGTTCCTTTATTTGAACTGAGTCTTGTGGCTGAAATCAGAAACAAATCCTCAAGTCAAAAGAATCCTTTTTGCTCATTCTGCACCAGTGGTGAAAAGGGTTTGTCTTTGGATTTTATTTAAAGCATGAATTTCTTTTTTGAGGAAAGAAAAATGAAACGAAACAGAAAAACAAAGCCCACACACGCACACACGCACACACGCACACATCTATAACAAAAAAGTCCTTGGAAAAGGAACAAGTGCACCGTATTTACCCAAAGAGAAACAAAGGCCGACACTTCCAAAACGGAGCCTTTGGAGCATTTACAAAATGAGGAAAGGAAGCAAAAGGAAGAAGAAGAAAACGAAAGAGGACAGTGTTAAGTGCACAAGGGTAACAGACATGTATACACCTTAAAAAGTTTCAAACCCCCAACAAAAATATTCTGCAAGGGATCCTACTGACCCCTTTTGAAACCCTTTGAATTTTTTTTCTTTAGTTTTTATAAAATAATTCTGCAGCCGCCCTCGAAGAAATGAAGGCAGTGACTGTTTAAGTGGAAGATTACAGGATGGCGAAGGGAGTCAAGGTACAAAGAGGGAGAAGCTTAGGCGAATCAGGGGGTTGGAACCTACCTGGCTAAGAATGGACAAGACAACATCAAATGAGAAGCCGTCGTCAGCTGGACCATACAAAAGCTAAATGTACACAAAAGGGGGGTTTCTTTTAAATCTACCATACTGCTTCAGTTCATTTCCAATGCAACAATCTACTCAACACCAAAAATGGTCATATCTATCATAAATACAGAAAGTCAGTTGTTTTAAAACTTATTTTTAAGCTCCAAGTCCTTAACACTCTTTGTGTGTTGTTGGGTTTTTTTTTCTTTTCTGAAAAGTGGGAGTGCTGAACTTTCCCCCCTTGAAATTGGCTTCAGCAGAAAAGCTACCCTTAAAATCCTCAGAAAGCTAACTCAGTTCACATTGTTTTGTCTCTTGAATACTTTCTGCCCATTTTTAAATTAACCAAAAACAAAAAAACAAAAAAATTTCCTCTTTTTTGGAAAAAAAATCAAAACCAAAAAAGAAATTATATATATATTTATATAAAACAATGATTCTGAAAACCGAACAAAGTGTGAGCGATTGACCTGAGAATAAAAAGACGTTACATTTCTTTTTTTTTCCTTTTAGCAAGCCATTGGTATTTGAATGCTAAGATAGCAAGAAATTTTAAACTGTAACAAGGTGGTCTGCTTTCCCATACAGTTATGCCGGCCTCTGCTGTGCTCTCAAGGGGAGGGGGCATTATTGAAAGGGGCTGGAGCTCCACAAACAGACAGATAAACAGACAGACAGACACTGGAGAGGCAACAGGGACTCGCACCTTTGAGATCAACACAGTGTACCTCTCAACAGCCAAAATGGAAAAAGAAAGCCATGGAAAATCTGCCGGCATTGGTATATGGGAAAACAACCCACACTTCTCTCTTCTTTTTTCTTTTTCTTTTTTGGTTAGAAGCTTTGGAATTGCAGTTAGTCTATTTTTGAAATTGGTTTGTTAATTTTTTTTAAAATTCTTTTTTTTTAAATTGTTCATCTTCAAAGCTTACAATCTAAAGGTGTCCATTTCTACGCTAGTGAGACCACTGTCCTTGGGGCAGCTCGGCTCCTCAGGCCTCTCCGCCGGGCTAGCCGGTCCATCAGACTTTTGGCTAAGATCTGAGTCAGACTCCTCCAAATAGTCATCTGTTGGCATCGAGGGCTGAACCCCTGAGGTGCTGCATGAACTTGAGGTAACCGTTGAAGATGAGGAGAGAGGAGGGAGAGGAGGAGGAAGAGGAGGAGGAGGCGGCGGTGGCGGTGGTGGAGGCGGAGGCGGCTTCCCCAGAGGAGCTCCCCGGGGGACCCCTTGAGGCCAAGACTTTCTGGAGGTGTGGGGGGAAGCTGCAGACGGGGGCGGGGGGCTGTCATTTGAGTGAGCGGCAGACTGCGAGGTAGATGCGGTGCTAGGATCGGGGAGGCAGGCGGAGTGAGGTAATAGACTGGGGTGCTCTTTGGCGTTTCTTGCTGCTCTTGGGATTGTTCGATGTTTGTGCAGGGCAGACTCGAGATGCTGTCGGAGGGCTTCTTCCCCGCGCACCGTGGTCTCGCACGCCACACACTGGTACGAGCTGCTGCTACCGCCACCGGCGCCATGGGCGGGCACGTGAAGCACCATCTCTTGCAGATTCACCACAGACTGGCCAAAGAAGCAGAGGGACTTCAGGTGGTCGCTGGCCGCCTCCTGGGTGCTGAAGCCCGCCTGGCACTTTCGGCATACCAGCCTGTACTGCACCTTTGGAACAATGAAGGGGTCACAGAGGGAGTCCACGACACTGCTGCTTTCTGCTTCGGGCTCTTCTTGGGGCTTGGGCAGGTGGGGGGACAACACCTCGCGGGGTGCATTTTTCTGCTCTTCTTGTTTGGGGGATTCTTTGGCAGGATCTTTTTCTGGGGTGGCAGTCCCAGAGGGGACTGAGGTTTGGCTTGCTTTGGGGGGTGGCGGCGGCGGCGGTGGCTGCTGCTGCTGCTGCTGCTGTTGCAGCAGCAGCAATTTCTGCTGCTGCTGCTGTGCTTGCCTCTGCTGCTGCTGCTGCTGCTGTTGTTGCTGCTGCTGCTGTTGCTGTTGCTGCTGCTGCTGCAATGCTTCCTGCAGGCTCTGTTGATATTGCTGGTATTGCTGCAACAGGGAGCCGGGGGACAAGCCAAGTAGGGCTTGCGACAATGCAGGACTGTAGGGAAAGAGCCCTTCCATGCCATACATGGGCTGAAGGTACCCGCTCTGCAAGGCCCCAGGGATCTGAGGAGCGTAATAGGGAGAAAAACCAGGGACAAAGTAGGGAAGGAACTGGCTTGTCAGGAGAGCAGTGGGGTCTGAATTCAGGGCCGCCTGTAGAGCTTGGAGCTGGGTGGGCTCCACCGAGTACTCCATGGCCGGCAGAGCAGCAGAGAGGGTAGCTGGGGCTGAGGTGGGGGGCTCCACTTTGTCTTTCTTGGGGGGCAGCAGGGAATCCCCCCTGCCCTTGGGCACCTTGTCCTTCTCTTTCCCCTTCTCGTTTTCCTTGTCCTTCCGAGGCAGCGGCTGGGACTGCGGGACTGTGGCCGTCGGGGCTTGTGCTGGGGTGGGGGAACTCAGAGAGGCCGATGGCTGCTTATTTGGTAATCCAGAGGTGGGGAGGCCAGGAGAGGGGACACTTGTGCCGGGGAGACCCATCAGGCTGGGCTTGGGAGACGTTAAAGCTAGAAAAGACAGACAAGAAAGAAGTCAGGTGGTGGAGAGCTGCCCGGTCTGTGCCCCAGCCACCCAAGAGGCCGGGCACAAGAAGGCCGCATCTCCTGGTTGGGTAGCAACTGACGCGGCAAGAGAAACGGATGGTGCCTGTGTGTGCATTTGTGTAAATCCAGCTCCTTCCCACTAGTGTATTCCTCTCAGATACAAGGTCTTGCAAAAACGCCCTTGGAAGGCAGATGACAAACAGCTAATGTGGCTGGGCCATGGCAAGGAAGGATGTATGGGCAACAGAGGCTGGGCTGCCAGAGGTCTCCTAGGGAAAACTGTGTCAACAGGAAGGACAGCTAACCTCCACTGACCAGACATGTGGGAAACAGATACAGAAGGGGTAGGTGGGGGATGCAAGCCTGTAGCGGGGAAAGCAGCAGTGGCAGTCCTTCATAGAAACAGCCCCAATCCATCTACGTCCATTTCCCAAACGCCAAGGACCAACCTTTGCAAAATGCTCTTTTCAAGAGGAATCCATATGTAAGAACAAGGAGGAACTGCAGTGCAAGTGAAAAGACCTTTTGGTGCAAACAAAACTCCTCCCACCCCCAATCCAGTGAAAGCCTCTGGCGGCTCATTGGGAAAATATGGATCCCCTCCCTCGCAGGCCACGACTGAGGCCCTGGGAAGCTCCTGCTCTGAGAGCCATGAGATGCAGGCAGGCTGTCCCCACACCGGTCAAGGTCCTTCTGCTCCAATAGGGCCACTCTGTGAAAGAAAGCAGCTTGCCCATGGCCACAAACAAGCATCCCCTTTCCTCCCTTTTTTCCTACAGTCCTTTCAGAACTGAAGGAGCCTGTCTTGGTGCTGAGATAGCAGAGGAAAAGAAGGAGGGAACCCATCCCACTCTTGGGTCCCTAACAACAGCTGCTGCTGGTTCTCAAGAAGCCCAGAGCCACTGGACTAGAAGGATGATGGGGAACTGACTTGGGGAAGGGACTACTGGCTGCACAGAAAGGCCAACCAGGATCCTCACTGCAGGAGGGAGTTCCTGCTTCTTGCTCCCCAGCCGTCCCTTTCAAACATCCCTTCTCCTGCTCACAGCAAGAACTGCTGCTCCCGCCACACCTGCACCTCGGAAGAAGGTGGTGCTGGCAGTGGGTCAGGAATGACTCACCTGTGTTCGAGGGAGTGAAGCCGGGCAAGGATGGGCTGTTGAGGCCTGGAAGCAGGACAGGAGGGATGCCCTGAAGTGCTGCTGGGTAGGTAGCAGGGAGGTTCAAAGCCTGCAGAGGGGGGCTGTCAAACATGCCTTGCTGCTGAGTCGCCAGGCCAAGGACTTCGTTCGCCTTCTTGATCCGGTCCAGCTCCTGTTGCGCCATCAACTGCCGGACGGTCGCTGGATCAAAGTACTCCTTCTCCTTGTCCAGCTGGCTTCCAATGGTGTCTTTCACTTTGGAAATGTGCTGCTGAGAGAAGATATGGTCACGTACAGACAGGCGGGCACTGTACTTGATGCCACACAAAGTGCATTCTGTTTTGGGTCCCTCATAGCTTGCTTGGTTAATGCCAAAATGCTTGGCCATGCTGAGCTTGGATTTCTTCTCCTTGGCGCGAGCATTTTGGAACCAGACCTGAACGACTCTCTTTGGCAGCCCAATATCGTTGCCCAGGACTTCGCACTCCAGCATGGTGGGCGTCCGGTAGTCGTTGAAGCAAGACTTCAGGACCTTCAGTTGGAGGTTCGTCATCTGGGTGCGGAAGCGCTTCTGTCCCGGCCGGTCCCCGCTGTCTCCAGACTTGCCTGCAGAACCGCTTGTGCCAGGGCTGGGCGAGCAAGGGTCCGCCAGGCTGGAGGTCTCACTGTAGTCCACGGTACCTTCATTGTCATATTCTTTGCTGTAGAAGCTAGGGGCTGGGCTGACCAGGCCAGAAGAGAGCCTGTCCTCATACTCTGACATGGCCATCATGGCAGCTTTGGTCAGACCCTCCCCTGGACCTGAAGACCCACATTTGGCTTCTGTAGCAATCCCAGTGGCGCTGTCGTTGTCTGCATTGCCCTCGTCACCGGTGGTGGTATCTGTGATGGCGGTGTTGACAGAGGAGCAGTCGTCGTTGTCCAGCTTGACTTGCTCAAAACTCAGATGGACAGAGGACATGGAGGGGCTCTCAAAATCTTCGAGCCCTTCCACTTTGATAGAGGACGGGCTCAGCAGAGTCCGAGGGGACAGTTCCAGAGACTTGCTCACTGGGGAGAGGGGGATGCCCTGGCTGTCGCTGCTGCTGCTGGGAGGAGGCAGGTGGGAAAAGCTGGCTCCGTCGAAGAGGTCTCCCTTCATCTGGAGCCCTCCGTCACAATCTAAAAGCATGGCCGACAAGGTCAAGTTATACCCTGCTCGCTTGGCTTCATGCCAGTGCCGGGATCGAATGTGCGCCTCCAGTGCGGTCTTAGCTTTGAACAGGGCCCTGCAGAAAGGACACCGCCGGTGGGCCTGGGCAGGACCCACCGCCCTGAACTGCCCCTTTCGCTCCCGGGCCCGAGTGTTCTGGAACCAAACCTGCACCACCCGTTTCTTCAAGCCCACCTCATGAGCAATGTGGTCCAGCATCTTCCGGGTGGGGTTGGAGTCCAGCAGGTATTTCTGGTACAGAACCTCCAGCTGTTCAGGGGTGATGGTTGTCCGGAGACGCTTGTCCCGCTGGGGCTCCTCTCCCCCAGTGCTGCTGTCATTCTCTCCAGGGCTTGCACTGGCCTTCTCCTCTAACTTCCTCTTCAGGGTGCTCACAGTGGATGTTGGGGTGGAGGGAGAAGTGGCTGAGCTCACGGGCAGCTGGGGAAGAGTCCCAGAGAGCAGCTGGGTGGCCAGCAGAGGGTTACTGGGGTCAAACAGCATGAAGGGCATGTCAAGCGTCCTGTCTAGGAACTGAGGGTGGATGAACTGGTTCTGAGCACTCAAGAAATGGAGCTGCTGATGCTCTTGCCAGTGTTCGAAGGAAGGGAAGGCCAGTTTGCACTGGTCACATTGGTATGGGATGAGTTGAGGAGGCAAGTTGGCCAGCTGTGGAGGCGTAGACGTGTGCAGAGGCTTGAGGGGCAGATGAGAGAGCTGGGATGACGTGGGGCTCAACTGTGGCAGAACGCACTGCGAAGGCTGGACTGGCTGCTGCAGGGTGGGTGGGGAGACCTTTGGGTGCACGGAGCCAGCCTTGGGCTCTCCTTGGTCTTGCTGCTGCTGCACCTCCTGCTTTGGTTGCATTTGCTTCTCTGGAGTTTGGTTTTGCTGGGTACTTGGAGGTTCCGGTTGCTTTGGTTTCTCATCTGTAGCTTCTGCTTTTGAACTGTAGGCAGAGGAGTCTTCATCGGCCTCCATGGTGACCTGGGACAGGAAAGCCGAGGAAGAGGAGGCTGCATTGGCTGAAGATGTGGGGGCGCCGTAGGCCTGGGAAGGCATCGGGGTGCTGCAGGCAGAGCTAGTTGGGGTCAGGAGCTCTGCGGCATCCATCGAATCCTCATTCTGGCTGTCCTCTTGCCCATCTTCATCCTCGTCTTTGTAGCACAACTTTTTCTGGTGCTTGATCAGGTCAAAGATGCGCTGGAAGACGAGGCTGCACTTCTTGCACTGGTAATTCAAATTGCTTGTTCGGATGTACCTGTCATTCGTCAGCTCCCGCCTCTCCCCGTCTTTGCCTTCTCCCTGATTCTCGTAGTTTTTTCTGGCCTTCTGCCGGGCATTCTGGAACCACACCACAATCACCCGGGTAGGAAGGTTGAGCAAATTAGAGAGCTGTTCGAACTCGTCGTCCTTTGGGTAAGCGTTTGCGTCAAAGAAGTCCTGCAGGACCCGCAGCTGGTAGTCCGTAAAGCGGGTCCGGGAGGACCTCTTGCTTCCCCAGTACTCATGTTTCTGGGGCTCTGGGGAGGGCGGCCGAGAATCCACCTTCAAGTCCTCCAGGCTGGTAATCGGAGGGTTGCTGAAGTTGTACGGAGAGTCTTTGTTGCGCTGCCGCTCTTTGAAGAGCGTGTTCCGGAACCAGTGCTTGATCACCTTCTGGGGCAGCCCTGACTTGTCTGCCATCTCTTTGATCTGCTCCTCACTCGGGGAATTGTTGATGTCGAAGTACTGCCTCAAGACCCGGAGCTGATCGTCGGTGATCCGGGTGCGTGGCCTCTTGTTTTGCTGCTGCTGCTGCTGCAGGAGGCCAGGGTGGAGCTGGTGTTGGTACAACTGGGCCAGGTCCGCGGGCAGGGGCTCCACGGGGGCCAGCTGCGGGGGCAACTGGGCCGGCAAGGTCTGCAAAGGCATGGTTTGCATCATCAGCGGGGAGAAGATGGGCAACTCCATGGGCATGGACAGCTGAGGGAGAGGCAAAGAGGGCTGAGCTGGGGCCAGGGTGGGAGAGGGGATGGGTGGCGCCGAGACAGGGATGGCAGGCGTAGGAGGCTGCTGTGGGGGGGCATGGCAACGCAACGGGTAGAGCTTGTCGTAGTGCTCCCGGTACTGCTTGGCAAACTTTTCCAGCTGCTTAAAGGGAAAGTAATGCTGGTGGACGTGTTCCTGGTGGCTCTTCAGGATGAGAATGTTGGAGAAGAACTTGCCACACGATTCACACTCCAGCTTTTCCAAGCAGTCTCCCTGTTCTGTCCTGCTGGGCTTCTTCTGCACCTTCTGCTTATTCTCATTGTACTGAATGACCAGCTCGAATCCAAAGTTTTCCAGCAAGGCTTTGGTGGCGTTCCCACGTGCATCCGATGCAATTCGGGGAGGCGGCAGGGAAGGTTCTGCCGGCCCTGCTGTGGCTGCCGCAGCGTCGGCCTTGTCTTTGGCCTTCGAGGGGTCGGACGGAGGCTCCTTGGAGGCGGCGCTGCTCTCCCCCTTCTCAAAGTTCTCCCGCTCTCTCTGCACCTCCTTCTCTTTCCCACAGGCTTTGCTCTTCTTCTCTGGGTGCTGGCTCTGCTGGAGGAGAACACAGTGCGGCTGCGGCGGCAGTGGCCCCGGCGGCGGGGGCTGTAACGGCGGCGGGGGCTGCAGGAGCTGCGGATGGGTTGTCTGGGGAAGCTGCACCTTCAAGTCGTCCAGCAGGCTGGGCCCAGTCCCGGTCAGCGTCAGGGTGCCGCTGGTCACAGGCAAGCTCACCTCGGAGTTCAGCTGGAACTCGGCACTGGGAATATAGAAGGGGAAGAGGAGGTGCTGCTGTTGCTGCTGCTGCTGCTGCTGGAGCTGGAGGAGCGTCTCTGTGGTCATGGGGAAGTGCGGCAAGAGGGCTGGGTTGAAGAGCTGGGACTGCAGGAGGGCAGCCTGCTGCTGGAGCTCTTGCTGGAGCTGGGCCTGCACTTGGGCCTGGGCCTGGGCCAAGGTGTGCGCCTGCTGTTGCTGCTGCTGCTGCTGCTGCTGCTGCCGAGAAGCGATCATGTCTGCCAGTTTCTTACGGTTCACCTCCTTGTGCTCAGAGGAGCTTGAGGTGGCAGCAGAGGCAGTGCTGGTACTGACCGGGGTGCTGAGAGAAGGGATCCCTGTGCTTTCACAGGAGACCTGGCTGAGCAGACTCGGGGCAGGGGCTGTAGAGGCAGTGCTTGCGTTGCTCACGGCAAAGGAGGTCGGGGTAGAGGCGGTGGTGACGGTGGTTGTGTTCACGGGGCTGGGGGTGGAGGAGCCCAGGGAGACGCCGCCGCCGCCGCTGCCAGTTCCGTTGCTGCCACTGCCACTGCAGCCGGTGCTGCCGCCTCCCCCCACTGCCTCCAGCTTGGCTGCGCGGGCCTTCGTCTGGTGCAGGACAGAGCGCATGTGGATCTCCAGGGTGGAGCTCTGGCTGTAGGCGACGCTGCAGGTGCTGCACTTGAAGGGCTTGTTGTCTGGGCTGCTGGTGGGCTCCGGCTGGCCAGAGGTGGATTCTTGGAGGGCGCGTTTCAGCTTGTGCAGGTGAGAGACTGAGTTGTAGTGGACCAAAAGGATGTTCTTCTGCGTGAAGGACTCTTTGCAAACCGTGCACTTGTACGGGCGGGATGGATCCAGGAACTTCTCCATGGTGAAGTTTGGGCCCTTTCGGAAGGGAAGAGCCCGTTTTGGTTCGGAGCCAGAGTCCTCCTGCACGGAGCCAGAGTCGCTCCCCGTGGGGCTCTGCTTGTCCTCCAGGTCGCTCTCCTCCTCTTTGTCTTCCTCCACAATGATGGTGTGCTCTTCGGCCAGGGAAGGGTCGCCCATGGCCAAGAGGTCTCCATTGACCAGAAGCCCACTGTACAGCTGCTGGATATCGGCTTCGCTCAGTTCCAGGTGGCTGCTCTCAAGGTGCTTCTTGAGGGCTTGGAAAGTGCGGAAGCTGCGCTGGCAAAGACAGCACATGGTGGCCGCCCGGATGACGTGGTACTGGGAGTGCAGCTGGAGCTTCTCAATGGTTTTGAAGGCCAAGCTGCATTGATTGCAGCGGTATTTGTAGACGTGCCGATCAGAGACGGGTAGCTGGGGCCGCTTCGAGTGCACTTCGCTGAAATGTGCTTGGAGGGCAGTGGAGCTTTTGAACACTTGGCTGCAGCCTTTTTTCCAGCAAAGAAATCCAGCATCCTCCCGGGCAGCAGCCTGGTCTTGTGGTGCAGGCTTTGACTCTCCTCCACGTTCTGGGTGCTCAGAAGGCAGCAGACCTTTCCCCAAGTCTTCTGCAGTCTCTGTTGAGACAGAACCAAAAACGAGACGGTGAGACCATCTGTTATCCAGCGACATCTTTCCCGCACTCATTAAGGACTCCTTAAGTATCCACTGCCCTTTTGTTACCTTTGGAGCTCTCATCAGGTGCGCTTCTCAAAGGCACCAAGGACTGACCTCTGGCAAGAAGCTGGCACCTCCACCCTGCTTCCCATGCCTGACACAAAGCCAAAACACTTCCTTCCCCACTGCCTAACTTTATTGTTCTTGCTCCCTTCGTGAATATTTGTCTCCCTTAAACCTTCCCAAACAATGAACAGACTTCTCCAGCAGGGTCCAGCAACAAGGATCCCAAACTGACTCAGCACTGGAAAACTGTTCTGACATGTCAGCTGTACCACTATTTAGTTTGAAGAGAGCCTTAATTAGGAGGGAGAGGGAGATTACAGGACAGCAAGGAAGGCCTTTTGAAGCACTCCATCTTGGGTCAGAGAGCCAAGGAAACAGTGCGGTGGCTGGTGGATGGGGACAGGGGGGCACGGAACCCTGCTGTCAAACATCACAGTCTCGTTCCAAACCCACGCAGCTTCCCTGTCCTTTGCCTGGAAATCGCAAGAAGCCTTCCTGCGTAGGGACGCAACTTACATTACAGGAATTTCTGTATTACAGGAGAGGCCCAGGAGACATTGCAGGGCAGGTTAGCTATGTAGTCTCTCTGTGCCCATCACTGAGTGGTACCCAGGCAAAGAAATACTGCCATGATAACTCAGTGCACTGTTCCACAGACCCGTGCTAGGTGCTGAAGAGGTCAAATACAGCTGTGTTGCCCTCCCAGGTGCATTCCTGCAGAAGGCTCCTGTCATGGCTGAGCAGTGTTTACCTCTGAAGCCATGTAACCAGCCTCTTGGGCAATGGACCATGGAGGAGCAGGAACAGCATGGGCTCCCCATGCAAGCACAGGCATCGACTGGATGTTTGTGTGTATGTGTGCGTGTGCGTGTGCTGATGCCTATGTACGGCCCCTCCCTCCCTAGAAAGAGTTCTAAGGAGCTCAAGAGAATGGACCAGGCATGCTAAGAGCCCCCTCTCAGCCCCAGTTCATCCAACAGAATCTGGCTCCAAGGCAAGACTCAGGAGACTGACCAGGCTGCTTGGCTGGCTCGGCAGTGCTGGCATTTCCATCTTGATCTGGAGTCGCTGCGGGAATAAACATACTGCTGGGCATCATCACCTCTGGTGTGGTCACCTGTGGGTTCCCAGAAGAAAAGGAGGAGGCAGACAAAAACATTTTTTTAAAAAACTTCAGGAAATGCAGAGGTGTTAATCTTTGGTCTGCTTCACAGATGGGCATTTGTTAGACAAAGCTAAAACGAGTAAAGAATGCTTCTGCGGTTGTGTCCAGGACATAATTAGTGGCACACACATTTTTCCTTTCTGTTCAGTTCTGACTTTGATCATTGACCATGTTTTGTCATGGCAGAGAAAGTTCTTGTTCAACCAACGAGACAGGTAAATTGAAAGACCCACCTTAAGAAACTGAAAACATAAGGAGGGCCTTAATTGAATAAACTCTCAGAAAGCACACTGTGGTCCTGAATTGCGAAGGGCTACTGCCCAGTCTCCAAAGTAACACAGCAGCACAAAGAAGGGGCCAGCGGAAGAAAGAAAGAGAACACCAGCAAGGAAAAGGGTGGGGTGGGGGGAAAGGCAGACCGAAGAAACAGCAGAATAGCTTTTAAAAGACAAGCAAGTTTCAAACACATTTTCTGTGGTCTAGTGGCAAAAGCAGAGCATGTGGGTATCCATGCATTCAGGAACATGCCCACATTCTCATTCCCAGACTCAAACAACAAGTAGCATCTCTTGATAGAAAAGAGTAGAAGGTCATCCCCCAGAAGAACACCCACCTTTGTTATGGTCAAGAAGAACAAAACCAACCATATAGATACCCAATGCTGACAACAGAGATGGGCCTCAGGTAGAAATGTAGAGAACACTGAGCAGTCTTGAAAATATTGGCCTTAAAAAGAGACTGAGAGAGTCAGGTTCACAGCTGGGGTGGGTACAGACAATTCCAGAAGCTATCCAAGGGCAGAGGGACAGTTGCATCTGCCAGAAAAAAACACCAATGAACTCAGTGATGCTTCAGCAGAGGGTTCAATGGCTGCCTAATAGATCAAGTAGTACTAGCCGTGAGCTAAAGTGGCAGTGGACACCCACAGGTGTCCTTGAAGGAGACCACCATGAGGGAAAGAACTCATGCAGCCATTTTTACGGGAGTGGAAAACTCATTAAGACAAATGTGTAGATTGATACAGCAGTGAAGACAGCAAATTTGGAATGAGGAATGTTATAAAAGAAAAAAGGTAAGCACCATAAATACTGCTCCATATATCTATGCTGCACGTAAAGGGGCATATGAGCTTCTGGCTGCTTCAAAAGGATTCTGGAACCTAACTGATCAAGGGATCGCCTTCCCTGTGAGAATAAACTAACATTCTTGGGACACTTGAGTTTGTGATTCAAGGGGTGACATGAAAGGAGGGAACAGCAATAAAAGGTGCACAGAGATGGGATCCTTCTAAGAATACTAGAAATCTGGGTCATCCACCAAAACGGATTGGCGATACAATGAGAACTGACAGAAGGTAGCATTTCTCCAAACAATGCATACTGCACTGACAGCATTCTCTACTGCAAGATGTGGCGACAGCTGCTGACCGAGAAGACTTTCTGAAACAGTTTTCAACGTATAAAGTGAGTCTATTTAGGGCTTCTAGCCATAGCATCTCACGGGAACTCCCATGCTAACAGCAGCTTGCTTCTGAAAACCAGAGGGGGCAGACAAGGAGGTGGTGGGCTGTGATGCACCCTAACAGCTTGTTCACAAATGCTGTGCCATTCCCAAACACATGTTCTGGAAACAGAGAAATCCCTATCTACCAAAGCACAAAGTATGTACCGGATACTGCATCAGTTCCAATAGGATACCTTTTTTTTTCTTTTGAGGAGAAACCAAAGGCTGTGGACCTTATTGAGAGAGATTAGTTAACATACTGTGGTCCCTACGTAGTCCCATGGATGACATGGAATGGAGTGGAGGTGCCCAGAGAAGGCCGTAGCACTTTTCGTCTTCCTGCTGCTACGCCCTGGACCTTTGGAAGTTCCGTGTTTGTAATGAGGGAATGACCTCCATTCCCCCCTATTACTGCTCAAAATTTATGAGACTGTAGCACGGAAGCCCACCCCTTCTCTCCACTGGAAACATTCTGATTGCATCAAGTGCCGATGACTTTTTAAATGGTGCTGGGAAGCCACCAAACAGCATCTCTCTCTCTCTCTCTCTCTCTCTCTCTCTCTCTCTCTCTCACACACACACACACACACACACACACACACACGTCCCGTAGCTGAAAGACAATGACTAGACTTCAGTCCAGCTGAAGGCATGTCCAAGGGCCTGGAATTCACGATGCGCCCGCAGAAGGTCTTCTGGAATGAGAAAGTCCCACTTCGTGATGGATAGGGGATCCTTCCTGGCTCTTGAGTCTGTTTTCCTGGCAATTGTCTCCTACAGAGACAAAAGGCTGCCGTCTGTCCGTCTGTCCACAGAGTTCAGGAAATGAAGGAGAGGGGAAGTAGAAAATGACAAGCAGGAATAGAGAAATGCCTCTTTTGGTACTAATACCACAGCAAGCACTGTCTCTGCCATCACAAAAATTATGAAAACAATTTAAGAGATTTTTTAAAAGGGACCCAATGGAGTAGAAAAATAATACTATTATCTAACCCTGTGTTGCATGTTATAACCGAAGAGCATGGTCTCTTCCCCAGCAATCCAGGAAGATAGCCATACCCACTAACAGACAGAGTACGATGGATCAGTAATTGTTTTCATACACTTTAATTAGAAAAACTCAGATGGCTACGAATAATAATGGAAAGAGAGGCTTTTGCACTTGAAAGGTTGAAGTCAATCAAGTGTGAATGACGGCAAAACCCAAAAACAGAGAGAGAGAGACACCAATTCATCAAGCGCCTGTTGTCTTGCCGCGTCTTTAATCATAATTCCTGATTGGGATTCAAGAAGGCAGTAAGCAGCGATTCTTTGTCTGCCTTCACCTTCCGTCAATTAACTCTCCCTGAAATATAATCATCAACCTCATGTGCTTCTCTGCATCTCAATCTGCTTCTCCAAACCAGCCAGCCAGCCAGTCTTTCTTTCCTTTCTTTGGTGTGCTTAACTCTCACTCTCTGCCTGTGAGGCAGAGCAAGGCAGTGGGGCGGAGCGGGTGAGGGCGCTGGCAGAACACCCCCATCTGCACAGCCTTTCTACCCTGGAAGGTTCCAAACCAAGACCCACAGGTTACATCAACTTCTTCAAGGACACCCTCGCAAGTGGCACACAACAGCTGCCAAAGAAGAAATCCTGACCCTTAAGCAGGGGAAGAGAGAGGCTGCTGCTTTCTTGGGCCAGGAATGGCCTCCGAAGGAGGTACATCTGAAAGGAACAAAAGTTTGAGTACGGGATCCACGCTGATGCTGCTATGGAAGCGTTGGTACCCACTTGTGCCACACAGATTGTGAGACCATAGCCCCTACATCATTTGTTCTCCCACCACTCTGTGCTGCAGGATCAGCCCCTGGTTGAGTCCCTTCAGTCATTTCCAATCTCAGCCAAAAGCCAGTTCAGACTTCAACCCACTTCCTTCCCTCCCTCCTGCCAAACCCCAAGTCGTCCTCCATGCCTCCCCCCCCTTAGAAAGAGAAACCAAACGACACCCGCACCCTTCTGGGGCCAAACCCCTCTCCTTCTTGTCCCCTTTGTCAGTTCCGAGCAGCACTTTGCTAATCACTCCCTGCTCCCCCACTGCTCCTCTTCCTATGTGGCTGAAATCTAATTGGTCCGAAATGAAATCTCCAGCAAGAGAGTCTGAGTCGGAGGAGACACATTAACATCTCCGCTGTCCGTGCGCGATGGGGGAGGGGGGCGAGTGGTACAAGATGAGGTTCCAGAGCCAGACAAAGGAGGCAATTTCCATTACAAAGAACGAGAGGCAGAGCAGGCAAGGAGTGTGTGTGCGGGAGAGAAAAGCTTCATTAGGCTCAGAGAGGCAAAGCGATGGCACTATACCAAGGTCACTTCTAATTTAGGCCACCTAATTGGCAAACATGGCTCCAAATGGCTATCATCTCACAGGGCTCAGAATTAATGAAGGCCGATTATTTTCATTACCTTCATCCGAGATGGGGGAATGAGACAGGGTGGGTGGGTGGGGGGTGAAGCAAAGAGAAAAGAAAAACCGGCTGAATGACAGTAGAAGTGGAGTGGGGGAGGGAGGGAGAGAATGGAAGAGGGGAAGAGGCAAGTGTGGAGGCAATAGCCCCTAGGAGGCAGGCAGGCAGGCGGGGGAAAGAGGGGTGCCTTTATCAGGGACTCCCACCATCTTTAGGCCTCCTGATCATGACTCAGGTGCAAACTTCTGTCCAAACCAAGCAGACCTACAGTACTAGCAGAAAGCAGCCTCTAGTATCTGGCAGGCAAAGCTCAGCTCCCAGTGAGGAACCTTTCGTAAAGCCTGCACCCCTTGAACTGACCCTCCCGCCCAACAAGAGAGCTCCCAACCAGCAGCCATGCTACAAGCCTCTTGTCAACCAGGGGTGGTTGGGGTGGTTGCATTCTCTCTCAACCACATTGCTTCTGCCAGAATGCCAAGAGTGCCCCACGCCACCTTCCTGGCTAGATGCAGCAGCCAGGGTACTAGGCGAAGGGTTCCTCTGGCTACTTGTGATAAAGAAAGGCAAGGAGGGAGTTGTAGCATACGTAGATATGAGATGCACAGTACAGACAGGCAGCTGCTGCTATGGCAACAGTCACATTAAACATAGTGGGTTCCTGAAAGGCTTATGGTTAGGAGAAGCCTCCCTCCCTTGCACCCTCGTCCCATCCCACAGCAAAATGGCAGCCTCCAAAACGATCTGGCTGAGCTTGGGCTGGAGAGCAGGAGCACCACAAGGGCTCTAAAGGAACCTCTGCTGCTGGCCTCTGCCTTTCCGTGGTCCGTCTCCTCTCATCAGCACCTGAGGGCAGACAAAGTGAAGGGGAACAAAAGGGAAAGAGCTCCCCACAAAGCAGAAGGAGCATTCTTGCCATTGCGGGAGCGCCCTTCTGGAACAGCCTCCGGAGAAGAGAGGCTGAAGTGGAGATGAGGACCTGAAGAAGGAGCTACAAGCTAAGCGGGCATAGATTTCCCTTCCCCTGTACCACCGTCTCCAGCACCCGCCATTTACAGAGCAACTGGCATAGTCAGAAAAAAGGGGGAAAAGAGGTAGCGAGGTCCCAGTCCAGTCTGGATTTCAACAGAACAAAAGGCAGAGGAAAAAGGCAAGCTGGGAATTAGGCACTGTTAGAAGGAACGAGCCTCTACAAAGACAGCTCGAGGTACATGGGCTTCTGTACTAGAAGTGGATAGGTGGGGGAAAGGGGGGAAAAGCACGAGTGTGGGAGAGGATGGAGGAAGCAGCAGGCACCTGACACAGCCACGAGGGGCAGTGGGAACCTTTAGGTGACTGTGGATGTTAAAAACATATGCTGGGCATGGAAGAGCATGCGGGGCTATTGAAGAGATTTGAGAAGTGCAGCCGAAGACCTGAAGAACTGGAGAGGCAAAGGATTTCTGCCGAGTCGTCTTCCCTAGGGATGAAAGGTCTGAGGCCAAAAGAGATGCTTCCATAAGCATCAACCCAGCACAGCATAAGCAGGGGAGCCTCGAGCACCAGAGGTCCCACTTATACACAGTACTGTACACGGGCAACTTTCGGAGAAACAGCCACCTCGCAGAGGATGCCGTTACCCTCTCCCACAATGCACCTCCCGGACTCACCGTCAAAATGAGTTTCTCGACGCAGTCAGGAGACACGCTGTGCAGGTGGGTGAGGTGCAACTGCAGGTGGATTTTGTTGCTGAGCATGTCCTGGCAGAGGGGGCACCGAAGCATGGGCTGGACTGAATGCTGAGTCATGGCATGGACCCTCAAGCGGTTCACATCCGTGTTGCAGTACTTGCAGTAGGGGCACTGGTACATCTGAAGGGGAAATAGAAACTGCGTGCTTGGACTGTATCCAGGCCTGACATGGCCAAAGTACAGAACAGATGCCTCCCACCAGCCCATCACCACAGCAGGCTAGCTTTTCTAGAAACATGCCAACCTCGTAACAGTTAGAAAAGCTTAACACAGTTTTACTATGGGCTGCCTCCAGGGCTCAGAGATGACTGAAAAGCAGATTATGCATTTTAAAAAGTAGAGTAAGAGAGTGAATCATAGCTTTCTGAGGGCAACCGCTGGCCATTCTGGTGTCTCACCTGCTCCAACTTTGTCTCATCAGACGTTTTGGGCCATTTGGTGATTGGTGACTCAGAGCTCCTTGGAAATGTAATAAGTTTGGAGGATGTTGAAGATTCTGTCAGCTCCTTCTCAGCCTGGGTAGCTTGTGCTGCAAAAAAAGGGAAAAAGATTCAGCTATGCGAACGTGTAATAAAAGGGAAGACATACACAAAAACTTCAGAGTGGATGGGGCCCCTGATTTCAGTCCCAGAAGAAGAGACAGCCTGTGTCGCCTAGGCAAGCTACGTAGTCCCAGCACACCCTCGGAAGAAGGGAAGGAGAAGCCACCTCTCAGCACTATACCTAGAAACCCCTAGAAAGGACTGCCGTGAGTTGGAGTCAAAATGGTGGCATGTTGTTCTGTAGCTGTTTGGGTACATAGCATCTGTATCAAGGAGGAAGAGGAAAGCAATCTGAAGAGAAATGCTGCAGCAAAATTGGGCCATAAAGAGAGGAGAGAAGGAAGCTGAACTGTGCACTGGTTGGTGTATTGTCTTGAAACTACTCTACCAACATGTAGTGATTTTAACAGGAGGGGAACAAAGACACCTTCCAGCCCTGCTTTGTCTCAGTCCTATGAGTTATTTATTCGCCGTCCAACAATGCTGCCAAGCCAAGAGAGCCTATTCCATTTGGGGCCAAACCCGGTCTGACTGGTCAGATCTAGCACAGCTCTACTCCTAAAACTGCCCTGCAGGCTCGTCCAGGTCAGCCTTCAACATTCTCCAGTGGAATCATTTTGGTGAAGAAGCACAGGTGGGATACATATCAAAAGTGGGATTTCCAAGATATCTGTGAAGATTCTCAGTCCTCTAGGTGAGGTTATCTGGAAGTCAAGTCAAGGCAACTGGACTTCTCTTGTCAAGCTGAAATGTCTCGCTACTCATCCAAGCAGCTTCTTCAGTCTTGGGTAATCCAGGTCAGCAGACAGAACGTGGGAAATGTTTTTAAGTGGTTGGCATGTGTGTGGGTAGGGAAAAAGAGAGATCCTCTCAAGCCACTTGTTCCCCACCTCACAGCCATTCTTAGTTGTTCAACTCTCTGCATCGTGTCTCACAGTGCAATTTCAAGGCGTATGTGCTCTCTTTCTCTTTCACACATGGCCATGCACACACACAAAACAAAGCCTGAGCAGAACGATCATCCAGATCCACAGAGGCATGAGAAAAGCAGAACAAACTACAGAGAATGTTCCAGGAAGTGGAAATTCTTCCCAGAATGCCCACCATCTGACCTTTGAACTCTGCATTCTGGAGCATATAAATCTGCAGGACATCTATTATTTAAAAACTACAAGGACAAGCATATTACGCTCAGCCCCCAATGAATGCACACATTCAGAATAGTACTTTAATCTGTCTCGAATCGACTTCAAACCCATTTCACCCTTAATGGGAGTTATTCATTTTCACTTGAAAGGTAATATATGACAGCTGGATATTTAACATGATGGATTGGCTGCCGATTAACTAGGCGGTTTAACGCTCCTAGCTTGCTCCCACCCACCCACCTACATTCAATTCCCCTTAAGGATGTAAAGAAGGTTCAGAGAGGAGGGTCTGCTCAAAAATCACAAAAGGGGGCCCTGTGTTTGAAGATTAACAGGATCCTAGAGCAAGGTCTCAAGGGTACAACTTTCTCCCTCTGTGTGCAGACCCCCCACCCACTCCCTAGTGTTCTTGCACAGTTCTGCTGGCACCGTATTCCTCTGCCCATAAAGAGCCAAACTAATAATAACAGCAATTATCACTAGAGGAAGAGATGACATCTTCAGTGGAAAGGGAGGACAGAAGGACTTGGTGAATCATGTCTTAGTAGGGCATCCAAAGGTACAGCAGAAGCACTGAGGACTCCTAGACCTGGCATGTTTGAGGGCTGTGCAGGGGTGTTGCTTAGTGAGAAAGCTGGAAGAGGAGGAGGTGATTTCAAGTGTTGGGCATTGCTTTTGATCTTCTCAGAGACATTCAGTTGCAAGATAGGCAGGATAAAGACACTAGAGTGGCCTTCAATCAATCAATCAATCAATCAAATGCAGAATGGGAGTGTGATGCTACACAGACCCAGAATGCTTGGCAGGTATGGGCTGGAAATGAGTAGCAGTGTCAGAAGAGGGGAGTGACCTTGCAGGTCACAGAAGGAACATGAGGTAGAGCTTGAAGAAGTTGGAGGAAATGCACTCACTGCTGATGGAGCCGTGGTGTCGCTCTCACAGAGAGAACCCCAGAGCAGAGAGGTCAGAGGCAACAGCTGTACCAGCAGTCAGTCACAGCCTGGTCCACTGGCAGCATTTTATTCTCCTCCATCACAATTAAGCATGAATTTCATCCAGTAGTAGCCACTATAGTTTTAAAGGAAAATGGACCCCAGGTTCCTGACAGACTACACTCACAGGTGCAGAATCCTTTGAGCAAAGAAAACAGAGAGAAAAGGCAGCGATCCAGTGCTGAGAAGAGGTCTGAAGGACTGGACTTCCCCTTACAGAAAGACAGTCTTGTATGTCTGGACTGGCCAAGACTAAATCCCATTAGACTTTTATCCTCAGGAAACCGACAGGACAGAAACATTTATTTTTCATCTTCTAATATAGGGGGAAATGGGGGAGCAGTCAGAAACACACTATGTCACGTAGAAACAGCTTTCCATACAGCTCACCTTTTGTGAACAAAAGTTGTGCAACGTGAGAAATTTATAGCAGACTTGAATGTTTCAACCGGGACACCAGGCAGGCCTGCTAATCTGGGGCAGTTCCAGGAATAATTTATGACTGTTGACTGTATACTGCTGATGTTGCTGGATGCTGACCAAGACCTATATATGTGCAACAGAGAGTAGGGCTGGGCTCCACCTCTGTTTTCCTGAGCATCTTGCAAGAACCTCTGTGCTCTTCCCTAAGCACTTTGTGATAAATCTTTTGGGCTGGTTTTCTTGGCATCTTTGAAGGAAGAAACGAAAGGCATCTGTATAAGATGAGCAAATGAAAGTCTGCCAGTTTTATGCAGGCAGTTGGAACTGCCTGCAAAAAAGCCCCTTTTTCTTTACAAGAAGTGTGCCAGCTCTTGGGAGTCACCTCCTGTCACCTGGAGTCCCAGATCTGAAACCTAAGTCTAACATTGACCTAAACATCTTAAATTTTTTAGCAGTTGTGTTCTTTGTTATTATTTGTCCAAATGTGAAGGCATATTTCAACCTGTTCCTCAAGAAATTTCCATACCAAACAACTTTTTGCTCAAAGTGGTTGTCCAGTTCCAAAAAGTATATTCCTGTAGCCGCAAGGCAAGGCACAGAGGTGAAATTCAAGGGGTCCAGTCCAATGCCGGGGTGGGACAAGGAGAGGATTAAACTTACTTGACCAAAGGCATCTCCCCCTTAGTAACCATCAATGTCTCTTAGCTTAAGCACCACTGACAGCCCCTTCATCTAAACTTCCATCTACTACCCAGCAACATAATGGAGAAGCCAATTAACTGATTATTAATTCATGCTGCTTTCCGTAAGCCTAGGGTCTCATTTCTCTGCATTCCGTAAACCAACTCGCCACCTGCCCCTGAAATTTACAGCAGAACTCTCTGAAGTTTGCTCTCTCCATTGATTCCACCATCTGATCAAGATTCCAACTAGGCTTGGTTCTGCTCCACAGAGAGGGGCAATGCTCTGCCTTATGTGGCTCTCAGCATGTCTGGAAGAGAGGCGTCAAAAGGCAGCTGTCTTCATGACTGCCATTCCTGGTGAAGGTGGTGCCACTCTCTGAATGGTTCCTCAATGGCTGGAGCTTGGTCACTCGGACTTCCCAGCTCTGATGGCTAGTGACTGGGAACACACCTCAGCAAGCTCGCCTCAGGCTGTTGTCATAACCCCAGTAAGCTTAGAATCATTTACATAGCAGTCCTATGACCATATTCGTGCTGCATAAATATTTTCAACGCACATGCAGCCCGAAGATTAGAACAGCTTGTGGACCGAGAGGAGCTAAACATAAAGTCAGAAACCAAGGAAGGCACCCTCCAAAAGGGGCCAAACGGCAACATGGTCCAAAACACACACAAAATAACCCTGGAAACTGATGCAGAAGGAGGACACAGCTGAGTTATCAAACAGAAACAGTGCTTAAATCACTTTGGCACTGACAGGTGGAAAAAGAGGAACAAGGAGCCACCCTGAGAAGCTGACATGGAAGAGGTGCTCCCAAGAAGACACTGACCGTCTTACAGAGCACAAGATGGAAGGTAAACAATGAATTGCAGAGGGGCATAAAAACAAAATTAATAAACCCCTGTTCTAGCTTTATACTTTGCTAAAAGGCACAGGTGCCTCTGGACTGGAAAGCAATCTTGCTTCCAGAAAGATCTACAAGCTTGTCTGTGAGAGCAGCTTCCATACTGGACTGGGTGCATTCCTCTGGGCAAAGGGGCGGCTGGTTTATCAAGGATGCAGACCGTGCAAATAAATGGGCCAAATGGCTAAACAGAGCTGCTTGATCTTGGAAAACCCACTCAAAAAGAGTCCTGCACAGAAAGGGCCACCAAAGGGCAGCAAAAGAGATCCCAAGAACCCATCGGCCCTGAAGGAAAGATGCAAGATGAAGAAGAAGACCATCCTGTTGCTGTGACTTTTCAAATGTTCAAAACGGATGGCAGAAAATAAGGTAGGCTGAAGGAAAAACTACATGTTGGGAGCTCTCTCTGTGTGTGTTTGTTTGTTTGTTTGTTTGTACCCCACCCATCACACCTGTTACAGAGGACATGTGTTTCAAAGAACCAGGCACGGACTCTTGGCAACCCACAACTGTGGGCTTCAGCACACATCCCTCCTTGCAGTCTGTTTCAGTGTTGTTGCCCTTGAGTTATGGAAGAGGGGAAATGCCAGTTCTAGAGGCATCAATAACAACTTCAGGGTTTGGCTTGCCCCATCGCAGTGGGGAGGGAAGCCAGGGAGAGTGAGGGAGCCCTGCCAGGACGGGCCTGATCCATTTTGGGTCTGCTGGTGCTCCGTGCCCCCCAACAGACACTCTCCCTTCTTCTGTAATTAGAAATGCAGTGGGCCTGTAGGAATTATTCATAAACGGCAAGAGCTATGCAGCAGCCATTTATGTTAAACATGTCAAACCCAATTGCAATCATGCCTGCCAGCTCTGCACTCCATAAACACACTTTTCTGCAACAATTTCCCAGCCCTTGGCAGCCCATTAATACCTAACCCTTAATAGCCGTCTGCTGCCATGGGTGCAAATTACAGATGCTCTGCTGCACTGATTGCTGCATTAGGGGAGTCCTGCCAATCTTTAAAAATGGGGAACATTTAAAAGCTCTTTGAGCTGGTCTACCCAGTGCTGCTGCTTTCTTAATTCATTATCCCGCCCTATGGTGAAGCCTCATGGTGAGTTCCACTGCTGCCAAACACATGAAATGCTTCTGCATTGAGCTGTTTTTTTCCCCAATAGCTTGTTGCTTCTATGCCTCTTCAGGTGACTGTAGTTCACAAGAACTTGAATTTCCTAATAATAATAAAAAGTAAATAAATACACCTCTCCCGCCTCCATGCCCCAGAAAACAGAAGGCTCCATTCAGATACTTGTTTTTCTAAAGGAGGAGACATCACTCCATGGATTACTGTCTTCTTATTTGGAAACAAAGCACAAGCAATCTTCTCTTTCTTTCAGATGAGGCACCATCATGTTAAACCATGAATTTTTATACAAGCTCAGTTTCACATAGTTGTCTCGTGTAATCAGACCTAGACCCAAATTGGGTCATCTTCATTAACTGGGACTCAAGATCCATGAGATATGGAAATCTGCCAGTCATGACAGTTATATACCATCTCCAAGAGTACCAAAAGCATTGGGTGTCACAACACCAATGGTTGCTGGGGAGCAAAAGCAGAAGGCTGTCATTGCTTAATGTTTACGTATGGACTTTCGGGGGAAGCGGGGGTACCTGGTTGTCTGCTTTTTGGCCTAATCCAGCTTCAGTTCTCCTCTTATGTCAGTGAGAAATATCCTCGTCCTAGTCCCACACCTCTTCCTTAGACAATGCAGGCATCAGTAGAGACCTGGCTTCCTTTTCCCTAAAAGTAGCTCCAGGCAGAACTGGACGGACAACTATTTCTTGCTTCCTCTTTCGGTTCTTACTAGGTAAGCATCTGTCTCAGCTCTCCACAAACACTGGCGCGAGCAGAGTTTAAAATTTCTTTCTGGGCTTTGCTCTTTTTCACAAGACCCTTTCAATGTCAACATTTTTTTCTTTTCTATAAGCTCAAGTTAACTTTCCATATAACTTCCTTCCTAATGAAAATCTGCATGATTGCTCTCAAAAATGAGAGTGGTGAAAAGAAACAAAAATACAGAGTGACTGGAGATCAGTGAAGAAGAAGAAGTGCTTTTTCAGAACAACCTCCAAATGCACGGGGAGTGGGTGGATGGGGGAAGGTCAATACTTCAACCTGTGTGAATACGTAGGGCATCCGTACATGTCTCCCTCCACTCTCCTCACCTGTCCATTTGACCTGGTCCTTGTCAGAGGCACTCTCGGGATCTTTAGCGGGCTCTTCTGGATCGGCAGCTGCTTCACTGGGTCCTTCTGCATCTTCAGTTAACTCCTCTGAAATGTAAGAAGAACAAATAGGTAAAGGCGAGCAGAAATCGAATCCTATAGCTCTAGTGCCTGAAACCGCTGCTTCCAGGACTTACAACCCACCATGGATCAAGGAATACCACCACCTTTTTTCAGAATCTTCAGAAAGCCAACCAGGTATGCCCCCTCAGCCCCCAAATCTATGGAAATGTCAGGGGGTCAAAAGGGGAATCAGAGGGGATCAGGGTGTTATGGTGACAGGGAAGAACCACGGAGGTGCTACAGTCATCAAAGAAGCAACAGAAAGAGGCTGCCACACGTTCTGCTTTCAATAAATGCTCAGGCCAGGAATGGATTGACCACCCTCCAATCCACAAGGTGGGAAACCCTCTTTAATCCGTCCAAACTCAGCCTTGACAGGTGGGCCCCACACTGCAGCAACTGCATGCACAGGTACAGGCTTCAAAGGAGCTGCCACAGGGATAGCATTGCACAACTGTAACTGAGCCTCGAAGAACATACCTTGGCATGCTCTTCCCACCTGTGGTAATACTGTTCAGGACCTCTGATTTACTTATGAAATGGCATGAAAGAGCCTTGTCAGCACAGCAGACCCAAGGCATTGATGGTTTGATCAACAACAACAGCCAACAATTATAGAGAGTGGCAATCTTGCAATAAAAATCACCTGAAGAGCCCCTTTCTTATCTGCATGTATGAAGGGAAGCCGCTGTCATAGAACGCAGAGCCTACCCACCAGGAAACACATCAAACAATTGCTTACATCACAGGGTAGAGAAAGGATGGAACTTTTGGATTAACTGACTGGAGGAAGTAGAACCTTGATGAAAAAGGGCTGATGGGCTGCTGAAGGAAGAACAGAACCCAGCCAGGTATCAAAAGGCAAGGAAGGTGAGAAAAAGAGCTGGCTCCTGCAGCAAGCCTGTCCCCACTTCCCAGCTGAGCTGTGGCCTTCTCAATGACAAGAAGGGACGGCACCAAACTAACTTCCCTTTCTGGGGAAGCAACCGTATCTACACAGAAGCAGTCACCTCCAGTGTGGATTTGATCAAACTGTTTGCCTCTTCAGCTCACCATGCAAGGTGAAACCTAGCAGATCTGTTCTTTAGCTGTGCGTTTGACATGGCTCCTAGTTTGCCTCATCAAGTAGACCAGGACTCAAAGATGCCTTGATATGTCATCCTAGTCCCAAAGCCCTGCTCTCTGGTTCCAAAAGCAGAAAATCCAGGAGTGATAGTAAGACCACACCTATGCCTTACAGCTAGACTAGGGCAAGCCCAAGGAGCTTCTTTCCACAGAAGTATACCACTCACTGCTCACACAGCATGCCAATCAGAAGCCAAAGAGCTTTGCTTTTGACGCCACTCTTTTTATCGGTCAGAAGACCACAGCCAACATCACTAACCACTCACCCATGCATACAATCCAAATAACCTTCTTCTTTGGTCTTAGTTTATGCTCCTCTTTGCCCGCATCTGGTGACCCTCGCTCTACCCAGTGTGCTGACAGTGTGCTGAAAGCCAGAGAAGATGTTGGTGGGATGAACCAGGGAAAGCTCACTGTTGCCTTTTGAACCAGGGAAAGCTCTGTTCGTTTTCCTTGCCAACAGAAGGGGCACAGCGCTGGCTGGGACAAATAAAAACTTCTTCCCTATCTCTCAAAGAAAGAGCAAAAAAGCAGTAATACATAGTATTTCTATCATTCTTGAGAGCATTCAAAGCCCTTTGCCAACACATGCGCAAATAAGCTCTCCTATAGAAGCTCCAAGATTTTGGAATGAGAAAACTGTTAGATGTTTAACCTTCCCTTTCTCCACAGAGATCAGAATAGCCTATATTGTCTGCTCACTTTATCCTCACAACAATCTTGTAGTGTTGGTTAGGCTCAGCAAAAACAAGTAGCCCCAAATGGCCCAGCTCACTTCATGTCTAAGCAGTGATTTAACCACAATCTCACCTTGTAGTGCCTGGAAACTCCCTTGCCTTTACGTTTAAGCAAGCTTTTGGAAATCTAAAAGGTTTAGACAGTGCAGCCAGAAGAGATGGATTTCAGGCTGCGGATACGTTTATTGATAAGATTGACAACTATTTTGCCTGGGGCTTTTTTGTTTCATTTTAGAGTGGTGTTACAGTAAGCTACCTCACAGAAGGGAAAACCTTGCTCTCTGTTCTTCTACAGGGAAGGGCTAGAATGAAAGGTAGCATCTGCAAGCTAGCAGGTCTCACCTAACCGTTAGGAAAAGCTGCCTAACAGTCCAAGCGGTTTGCCCATAGAACAGACCATCTCAGAAGGCATTCTGCCTCCACCACAGAAGCTGTAGCTACACGCTTTACTCAAGCGCCTGCACTGAGTCTGAAGACGTGAGCTGCTTGCGCAGTAGCAACCACCAGCAAGGGCCCTCTCTGTCTGCCTCCTCGGTGAGGATGCAGCCATGAGGACGGAACCCCTTTGGGGCCAGCTTGGCTCCCTGCAGTCCCAGCAGCCACCTAGGGGTGTCACTCTCTGCCTGGCCAGCAAAAGGGGGCCGGCCGGCTCTGGCTGGACTGGGCTTCCTTCCGAAGCATGTGGAAATAATATACGTTTTCCAGCAAACTGTCTGGCTGAGGGGAAATAAAATAGGACATTCATAAGCAGTTACACCATCTGTCTTTATACCATCATCATCAACAACAAGGGGAAAAATAGCTCTTTAAAATGGATGAAAGCCCAGACTGACAGTAACCAGGAAAATGTGAGCCATGAATACCAATAAAGGTAGAGAAATTATTTAAAAACAAGGATACACACTGAAAACTTCTCTCTTTTACTCCGCAGACTTTTTTAAAAAAAATTGGCCAGCCACGCAGAGGAGATGCTGTCTCTCAAGGAGCCAGCCTGCAAATTGGCAGAGTAATGAGGACCAAGGACAATACCTACAAGGGCCGAGAGAGGAGAAGGGGAGACAATCAGCACTATAAAATACCCCCCCGCCCGCTCCTCAAAGGTATTCAGCAGTGATGCCTCCATGAACAGTGGTGGCAAGACAACTGTGAACCTAAGAAAATTAGGTTTTTGCACTGACATGACATCTGGGAGTCGGGAGAAGCACAAGCAACGTCACCACAATCTCAGTGTACTCTCGGTCCCTCAACATGGACTACGGGTGACCCTGATGTTAGCTGAGTCAAATGCCCTTGATGTTGCCCATTATTGGGCAAAAATGATCTGATATATTTAGCCAAGCTTTAGATTTTTATTTTTGTAAACTAGTTTGGATTTTACATGTGTCTGCATGCAGAATGTTGCCTGATTTTTTATTGCGTTCCGTTAATTGTCTTGTAGTGGTTGCAACTCAAATAAATAAATAACTCCCCCCCCCCACGCAATCTGGAAATAGCTAGGTGAAGGACATCTCTCTAAAGTTCTCCTTTTAGAAAACGACAGTCCTCATGCAAACATGAGAAGGACCCGTGCTATCTGGGGAGGGCAAAGCAGAGCGAAGGGAAGAAGAGGATGTTTGCACCCCCACTCCACCCCCACTCCGCCATTCCAGTAGACTCGAGAGCTGAGAAACATTAGCTGTCACGAACCACAATCAAATCAGGTTTGAAATATTTAGCAGTGGCTTGGAAAATGTGATGGTGCAGCTCTGACAGGCGAGATGGGCACAGACACCCATTTTCCATTATAATGGAAATATCCAGCCTGTTCTGAATATGTATAACCTAGAAAAATGTATTGATTTTTCATTCGGCATTTTAAAAAAAAATGAAATACCCTGCAGCTGTCAAAAGCCTTTTGTTAAAAGCTCATCTTCCTGGAATGGGGTTTACCAGAAACAAGTTTTAATTGTACACAAGCTGCTTCTTCGAAACACAGAAGGATTCCCTACCCCCCATTATCCAGAAATACCCCTACTTTGACCTTCCCCCCAACAGCATCCCTCAAGAGGATTCTCTCTTCAAAAGGCAGCAGAGTAATAACCAGGATGCAACCCTGGAAGAGAAACACACCACACCACACCGCTGGAAAACCTGGCTGGCTGGAGCTGAGGGCACAGCATCTATGCCACGTCGTGGGTTGTGGCCAGGACAGAAGCCCAACCACACACATACCCACAACCCCTCCTCAGAAGGGACATCAACCGGCATTAACTGGTTTTGAGTCCTCCCAGCATAAAAAGGCAGGATAAAAATGAAATGAAGCAAAAAATACACGTAAGAGCAGCAAAGGCAGTGCAGATATGGAGCAAAAGTTTCACCTACTCTGGGGAACAGCAAGTCGGTATGGGAAAAGCTCTTTGCTCCGTGCTATAACCCCCAGGGAATGGTGCATTGGCACCAGCCCAGGCTTGCACCACCACCAAGCCGGGCCTTTCCTTCAAAACTCTTTCCCCTTTGTTTTGTACTCTTGAGAACGTTTGTGGTAGAAACCGGGCTGGAGAAGAGGGTAACCTCTTTCCTCAAAACAGGACTCCTTCAATGCACACGGCACCAAGGGCCCACGTACACAAGACAGACACCCTGGCAAGACAGCCAAAGCGGTGAGCTTTAAGATGGACCTGGTTGTACTTAAGTGGGTTAGGCAAAAGGACAGAATGCTAATATAGGTGGGGAAACCACCATCATTTTTATATCTCTCCACTGCTAGCATGTTGAATTCAAAGCTTCTGGATTGCCTCAACAGTGGTGTGCTCTCTTTTATCAGCACGTAACCCCATCGACAGCAACTGAAATGCCCAGCTACCACAAAGTGGCCTCAGTAGGGCAGAACCATTGTGAAGGGAGAAGACCACGCAAAGCTGCATTCCTTTAAAGCAGGTTTCTGTGCCAGACGGGCGGCAGAAGCAAACGGACGGTGTTCTCTGCTACAAGGCTTTCAGCAGTGCAGTGTCCCCGACGATCCTTTGCAATACCAAACAGAGGATGACAAGGGCACCACTCTGATATCTTGAGGCTACACACAAAAGGGGTCACGGTGCAGTGGAGCCTTGAGACATTCACTGCCAATGGTCCTGGGTGGGCCCT